ACACACACACACACACACACACACACACACACACACACACACACACAAAGAAGGAATATAAAAAAACTACAATAACTAACTAACTAAAAATACTCAACCGTACTAAAAGTAATAAAATATAATATTTGTTGTGTATTTCACTTTTACACCTTCCAGTTTCTTCCATCTCTGCACTCTGACTTCATACTTTTGTCCCCTTAAGTAAAATAAAATAATCTGGAAAGAGGCGAGAAGTGAAGTCATCCTCTACTCTGTCGTCCCATCTATATTTTATCAGACGCCTGAAATATTGAACAGAGACGGGAGAGAGAGGGAGGGAGAGAGAAAAGGGGGAGAGATCTCACGGCAGACCGAGTGTCCGTCAGGTGATAAAACAGAAGGCAGGATTTCATTGAAATGTTGTATTTTAATATTAATCAGGCAGAGCTTCGCCCTCTTTTTCATCCAGACGGGATTAAAACATCTGATCTCTGGCAGTGACCGTCATTGTCTTCCTCATCTTCTTCCTCCAAAAGAGGATTCAGTGTCAGCTCTGACTCACAGTCTGAAAAAGGAAAAACTCATAATCTTCTATTCTGATCACATCCTCAATGAACCAGTTTTCAGAAACCTTTTGAAAAGTGAAACTTCACAAACTGCCGTTTGACTTTTAGGCTGAAAAAGAAGCTGAAGTACAACTAGGTTTTTCTGAGGAAAAGAGCTTCTTCTTCTTCTCAGCCGGAACAAGAAGTGAGTCTGCAGCATCAGGGAGGTTCAGTTCTACTACGAGGACCGTCAGGGCTGGTTCCGCTTTTGTTGACACGGGTCGGAAACACCGATGACTGGTTACAAAGCTCAACAAGCTCCACCGGTTCCTCCTTCAACTGGTTTCTAAGTTCTACCAGTTCGTCCATCAACTGGTTCCAAATCTCTTCCAGTTCCTCTGACTGCAACTCTACTCCGTTCTCTATCTGCTTCTGAAGCTCTACTTGTTCCATGTGGGATGTGGGTTCTACTAGTTAAGTGGTTCTAAAGCACTATCAGTTCTTTTTACTAGTTTTGAGGCTCTAACAACTGATCAAACTGGTTCTGAATCTCTTAAAGTTACTCTTAATGGTTTCAAACCTCTACTATTTGCTCTTGGGGGTTATGAAGCATCACTGGTTCTGCTAACTGGATCTGGGTTCTACTAGTTAAGTGGTTCTGAAGCACTATTACTAGTTTTGAGGCTCTAACTAGTTCTGAATCTTCTACAGCTCTAACAGTCCTGTAACTGGTTCAGAACCTCAACCCGTTCCCCTAACTTGTTCCAAAGCTCCACCAGATTCTCTAACTGGTCTGCCGGTAACTCTAAATAGTTCTGAAGCCGTGTCTGGTTCCCTATCCATGGTCCTGACAGCTGACCCGGGTCCCTGGTGTAACAGTGTAGCCTTCCCGACTGCAGCAGTGTGATAGTGGTAAGTAGGCCACCAGCTCCAGGTGGGAGGAGGTAAACTGCAACTGCAAGCATCTTCCTGCAGGTCACACTAACTTCTTGTGTGTGTTCTACTTTCAGAGCTTCATCGGCTATCAGCTCTGCTGGTGGAACCACACAGAGAACATGACCAGAAGGAGCGGGTCACAAAGAATAGAATAAACTAGAATATAAAAGCACGATAAATGTGTTACCTGGTATGCTCTGCCTCCTGATGGCCAGCGCTCCATCTGGAGGTCTCGACCCGGCGGAGTGTTTGGCGTACGGCCCCTCATCTGAAACACAAATAAAAAAGACATATTATTCTGACTTCCCAGTTCCTTTAACTGGTTCTGAAACATCTAATCTAAGAGGTTCTGCAGCTCTACCAGTCTCTCTTAACTGGTTCCTGTATGTAGCTCTGAAACTCCCTCATCACTTCCTCAAAGTGGTACCAAAGTGAGAAACTCCCATAATGCATCTGTATTCACCATCACCATCTTCAGACATCCCAGAGTTCCCACCACAGAAATACATCTCAGGGCTAAGATGCAATCTTATTTAAAAAATGACTACTGGCCTCACTAGCCAGTAAACTAGCATGTTAGCATCCTCTGCTTCAGATGATGCTACTAGTTAGCATCTCACAAAGCTTTTACTGAGCAGTTAACTGTCTGAGAATTCTGCTCTGCTCTCATGAATAAAGAAACTATACAGAGAGATGACCTCATCAGTACAGCGGACCAATCCCTGTGGAGAACACAGGGGTCTATCTGAGTCTGGACCAATCGCAGCAGTCTGCTGGGAGGCTTCTGGAGCCTCAAGTGGCCATTTAATGAACTGCAGTTATTTCTGCTGTTTATTCACACGGTGTGTTGAATCTTCTGTATTTCAGTGTTGTTTTGTTCTTTATTTCCTGGTGTGTAGAAACCTCTAGAGGCGACATCAGAGGAGCTGTTAGTTTCTGTGTCTGTGAATCTTCACACTTCGGCTTCTTGTTTTTACCTCTTTCTATTTTCGGTCCTCTGTTGGTTCTATTTCATGTCGCGCTCGTTTATTCTAATCTGCTCCACATCTATTCTGTTCTGTTTGGTTCCAGCACACACACACACACACACACACACACACACACACACACACACACACACACACACACACACACACACACACACACCATAGCTAACAGAAGATGAAAGCTGAGCCTCCTCCACATGTAGGACAGCAGCATTTCTCTGTTTCAGCTACAGTACACATTGTGTATACACATAGTACATATACACTACTATATACTACACAATGAGCTATGTTGTGTAAATACATATATAT